AAAAAAAAAAAAAAAAACCTACAAGACATTGCACAAAGATTGCGATAAAGAAAGCGTAGGAAAATAATCAGTACCAAACTGGAGAGACAGAAAATATGGAGAGGATGAATTACTTAAAGTTACTTTGGTAGAGGAACATTAAGGTTTGAATATCATCTTTAACAATGGTGTCCCTCCTGACTGCACATTATGGTTTGGAGATAAATTAATTTCATGCTATCAGTAAGAAATGGAGGACAGGTTATGTAGCTTGAATGGAAAAGATCCAAAATCACTATTAAAGATCTCAATGTATTAGATTAAAGGGGTCATATGATTATTTTTTAAAGATCATTATTTTGTGTATTCTTATCTATACACAATCAGCTTGTAACACTCCAAAGAGAAAGGAAAACTTGAAATCGCATCATATGACCCCTTTAAGATAAACTTTATATAAATATATATTGATGTTTGCATAACTGCATCAATTTTAAAATAAACTTTCACAGGAATCATCATTCATGTCTTCTTGCAAGTAATTACATACTTGGAATATCTCTGCATGTTCTAGTTAGCCATGCAGTATATTTGTATTAGTATGTGGTGTTCAATCAGGCCTGCATGAACTATACAAATATGTAGATTGAGTTCTGTCTCAGCATGCTTGATGGAACTCTTTGGGTGACAATTTTCCGTTTTCAACAGGACAAAACACAAGTGTATATTACAATTCATAATACAAATGACATACTGCTTGCCCCTGAGTGGCCATCTAATAGAGGATGAGAGGTTCAGGAGGATCCCCCTGTCTATGAGGGGGACTGTAATCTACGATGAGGGTCCTAAACGTCTAACAATCCTCTCTTTTTTCACAGTCACCACTGCAACTGATTTTACTGATACTGTCCATAACTGCGTGTCTCTTGGCCTTCTTTCGGGGGAAGCTGACTCGGGTCCTCCACAAAAGGACTCGCTGTAGAGGAAGAGAAGATGCAAATGAAGCAGCTTTAACAAAACAAAACTAAAGGTAATAAAACTTTTACAATGAAATACATGTATGTTAAAGACAGTGTTTTAAAGTACGTAGCCCTGCACATAACATGTGGGGGAAAACAAGATATTGTGGCCTCAAATTATTAATTTTTTCTTTAATTTTAGATCAACTGTGGCCACGTCATACTAATTAGTTCCCATTTTCTCGTTTTAGGTAAATCGTGACCCTGCTGTACTAATTCGTTTTTTTTTTTTTTTATTGTAGGTAAATTGTAATCAGGGCCATGTTGTACTAATTACTTTTCCTGTTTTAGGTAAACTGTAAACTTGGCCACGTTGTACTTATTTGTTTTCTAATTTTTGGTAAATTGTTGCCACATTTTACTAATTTGTTTTTTTTTTTTCTCGTTTTTTTGGTAAATTTTGGCCACTTTGTGCCTAATTTGTTTTCTTGTTTTAGGTAAATCTTGGCTATGTTGTACTAATTTGTTTTCTCGTTTTGGGTAAATCGTGGCCACTTCATACTAACTTTTTCCGTTTTTGGCAAATTATGGCCATTTTGAACTTTTTTTTGGGGGGCGGGAGGGGGGATAAATCATAGATGCGTTGTAAGTAAGAGATCCCTTGTGCAGTATGGACAGGTTTTCTGATTATAACAGGAGGTTTCACTCAGTCAGTGAGCTTGTGCTGCGGATGAACTGAGCTGATACCAGCTTCACTGATTATAAGGGAGCTTCTTCGCTCACTTTCTGTGTATAACCCATTCATATTTTGAATAAAAGTTTCATTTTTCATGCTAAGTACTCACTGCAAAGTTTCAGGGAAGACGACTGTTTTAAAATGTGGGACTGAATCTGAAATTGCGATGTTTGACATTGTGATAACCATGTCCAACCAACAGACAGGACAAAACCAATCTGATGTGTCAGAATAGATACATAATTGAACACTATTTGAAGGCTACATGCTTATGTTTTAATGTATTTACTTATATTAATTATTAATAGCATTACAATATTTTTTGCTATGGTACTAAAATTGGTACAAAGAACCGTGGGATTTGGTAGTAGTATTGGTACCGACTACTAAAGTGTACAGTGACATTTCATTTTAATTATTATTTGAAGACCAAGTGCCACTAATGATGTGTTTTTGTAACGTTAAAAGGTTTAAATAAAGGAGTTAATGTTGAACTATTATTGTTTTTATTCCGTGGTATCGAGTATCGTGTACTTTTGGTGGTATCAGTATCGACTACTAGATTTTTGGTATTGTGACATCCCTAGTCACGATGTACTAATTTGTTACATTTGTGGGAACAAATTCTTAATTCAGACACAATATCTATTCAAATTTTTGCAAAGAAAAATAGAAATGTGTTGTAATCCTCAAAAACAGAATTGGCATTGTTGTGTGAACAATTCCTTTGAAGTTTAATAACTCTCTGAATCATCCAAACTTATTCTGACAGGTGTAACTCACGATTCTGAAACTGCTGAGCTGTGTATCTTGTAAGAAGAATCCCGAATCCCTCGATTAGAGCAAGCAGAATTCCCCCCATCATCGCAGAGCCCACCATGGCTAGCGGACCACCTGAAATACAAACAAGCACATTGTGCACACTTCCAGAGGTCATTTCAAGACCAGAGATTAATGCTGCATGTATATACTATTACACAATACTACAGATCATCAGATGGATCTATTTCCAGTAGGTTGTTATATCTCATATATCTCCTTTTTCGTAGATTTTTGGCCTAATTTTTAGTCTGGACAAGTCGATGCTACAGTAGTTTCCGAAAGTCAGACTGCAGATATTCAGAAGCTATAGTTGATAGATTTCAAAGAAAACTGTGTAGTGTTTAATGGGAACAGAAAACAGTTTTTTTTAGCTTCAGACTATGATCCCATCCAGTTGGAGGACATTAAACATGTTTAATGTTCTAAACCGATTTTGGAACACAAACTATTTTCATTTTTCATGCTAGTCTCCTAGCAATGAGGCACAAGGTTTCTGCTTGAGTTTGTTGTGGTAGTCTGTTATAGTGTGTAATCCTCAGTCGTTTAGTGTATGATGCCCCGTTTTTCTCTGTAATCTCTGTAATAAAGTCGACAAAATGACTGCATTTTTAAAATCTGTTCGTATTTTAACAGCTGTGTAGTGTATTCCAACCTTATTGTCTAATATTGTGGAATAACACTGATAAAAGAAAAACGACTATCATGCTAAACGTACTGCGTGCAGCCAGTATAGCTCCAGTCATGGCTCCACTGGTGATGGAGTTCCAAGGGTCTTCTTTACCCCGCAAACGCACAAGACCACAGTCTATGGTGGAAAAGAGCCCACCCCATACAGCAAAACTACCTACAGGAGAAAAAGACCCATAGCACAATTTATAGTGAATCACTGATATACAAAATGCTAAAACTAGTCATACACAACACAGTTTTATACCACACGATAAACAAACACAAGAAATGATTCTGCAACATCACCTCCAATTTGTGGTGCTCTTACTCTCACAGCATTTGCGCTCCCCCTAAGCCTGTGTCGTACACCCTGTAGTAACAGAGTGTGTTTATTATTAGTAACTGAATAGGAATGTGTATTAGTGATAGTAATATATGAGCTCATTTGTTTTGTTGGTGACAGTGAAGCTTACCACAGGTGCGTTTCGAAAGCCTTTAACAGACTGGAACCCCCCTCCTCCAATGGCCCCCATGGTAAATGCACCGCCACAGTCATCAACTATCCTCCATGGACTAAAAAATATGAAATGAAAGAGCTATATTTTTAAGTCATTATCCCTACTGTATCATATTTGATGCATTACTTTCTAAGGCCTCGAAATTATCAACATGCTCAAAACCTTGCTGAAAAACCTGTTGTGCACAACCTACTACATGCCTTTTACATGCCTTACAACATAAAAGTTAATACTGTATTAGCAAGTAAAAGGACTTTAGCATAACTGTAAAAACATCCATCATCAGGTTGTGGTTCACGTGTCTTATTGTTAGTATTGTTAGTAATATTTCAAGATAAACACTTACTGGATGTAATCAAATTAGGTGATTAGGTTACTTGATTATCCTTACACATTGTTTTTAGAAAAATTAATTTTATCTAGCAAATTGTAACATTTATTTGCACATCTCTCAATCATCATTGTATTGCATATTATAGGCCTATGTTTTGCCCCCACAATAAAAACTACAGTGCTTGATCAAAAAACATTTAAACATAATCTGACTAAGATATATAGCCTATTGTTGGGAGATAAACAGCGACAACCGATATCCATATGCATTTCATGTAAGTAGACTGCTATACTGTTATAAAGATCTCATTGATACATTACACATTACTTTTTGGCCATATAAATATCAGCATCTGCAACAAATTTCATAGATTTGTGCCTCTGAATAAAACTGATGCATGTTTCCTCCTCAAGACTGAGCTCTATATATGAACCATATAGACCTGATACATACACATTCATATATATATATATATATACACACACACACACATATACATATATATAAGCCATAAACCATATATCAAATATGATACTAATCATAAAACACATTTGCAAACATTTCTAAAGATTTTCTTTGATATTTTGTCTAATTGTTCAATAAACTGTTCTATTAAAAAACTATTTTTTTCTGATTATGTCACATGTCAAGCGTTACTGGGATAAATCATTTAAACATGTAATTTGATACTAAACAAGAAGTTAAAGCTGCAAGTGCAGTAAAACAGCGAGTTTATTTTGCCCCTTCGCTTCTGAGCACTGCAGCGAGATCAGACCCCACATGATAACGTTTATCAAACACTCGCTGTAATAATATGTCAACAGTGTGTGAACTGAGACAGCAGCAGCTACTGTAGTACAGCATGACCGCGGAGAAATAAATCGACACCAACATGAACGCAAACGAGAACACAAACTGCTTCGAATAGCAGCTGTTTCCCGACATGAGCTGAAGTGCGGAGCGCTCAGAAGTGAAGAGAGCTTGAACTCTACCAGGGTTCACGCGCGTATTCCTCCATGATAACCTGCTGACGTCAGACAGCTCGCTGCTCGCGCTATTCTTCCGTGACAGGAGCTCAGTTTGCAACCAATGAACTTGAGTTGAGTTATTTTGTTTTACTAGACACATTTGTCCTTAAAAGATTTATTTGTTAATGCATATTTGTTGCAAGGATTAGAGCCACTCTCTGTCAATTGGATAAATAATATGTCCGATTTTCAGTGGGACTGTTTTTCAGTGATCTGTGATGTTTTCGGTTCGCAAAACAGATCTGATGATAGTTTCATTTACTAACCAGACAGGATCTGAAATAACCAAGAGCTCTGTGACTTCAGGACCGTATCCCGTAATCGCAAAGACCAGTCCTACTGGTTAGAGGCTACTGTAAAATATTAAAATCTAAAATATTTGTAATAAAATTATATATAATTTTATAATTATAAATTGTATTTATTTAATTCACACACACACACACACACACACACACACACACGCTAATACTATCATAAGCACACATTTCACAATATTTAAAAATAAAACATCACATATAAATTCATACACCTTAGTGTTCCTGGCCAATCAAAATAGGTACATTAAATGATCATTTAATAATTTCATAGATGTTGAAAAGTAGGCGAAGGTGAGAGGCGGGCGGCAACACTGGATAAACACTCAGAAATAGATATTCAGGTGACTCTTAGCAAAAATGAGGTTAAAGGGAAAATTAAAGAATTCATAAACAAAAAATGGCAAGAAGTATGGAACTGTGAAAGCAAGGGCAGACAAATGTATAATATTCAGCAGCAAGTAGGAAATGGAAGAAGTGTTTTTAGGAATAGGAAAGAAGATACAATTATTTCTCGCATCCGAATAGGGCATACTAGATTAAATTACTCTTTGTTTAATATAGGAAAACATGAAACAGGTCAATGTATTTTTTGTAATCAGGCAGAAACAATAGAGCACGTTTTAATAAAATGTAAAAAATATGAAAAAGAAAGGTTAAAACTCATTAAGGAAGTAAGAAACATAGGTGTTGAATCATTTAATTTGTCAAACCTCTTGAAAGAGCATGCAGAACAAGGTAAAATATATGGTGCTATTGTTAAATACATTGAAGGAATAGGATTAATCAGGAGAATTTAGGAATGTGTGTGTTTTGTTTTTGTTTTTGTGTTTTTTGTTTTTTTTATATAAAATATAGATAAACATAAATATGTATTTATTAGTGCTCCACACTCCAGTCCAGTTGGTGGCGGTAAATGCACCAGAAGTTGGTTTGCCATCCGCCATAAAACGTTATTAGAAGAAGAAGAAGAAGAAGAAGAAAAGTAGGCGAATGCATCAGTCGCTTAGCGATGACGTTGTGAACAGGCCGACAGATGGCAATGTTTATTTGTTTTATTTGGACCACCCTACATTTTAACTGATGAACAACGATGAATAAATGACTTAGATATACAAGTTATCGTTGCATGTTACAAATTTTTTATATATATGTATACATATCGTATAACGCTAAATGAAATGTTATTTATTTTGCGCCTCGCGCACTACAGTGCTAGTCGTTGAGGGGCCAAATAAGCTCGTCGCTGCAGTTGTCAGTGTTATCCGGGCGAGGGCGAAGCTGTGCGACCCGTGTTGCAACTTGTGAAGAAAGTTTTGGTCGCCCTTGTAGCGCATAATGTCAGGGAGATCCTGTTCTGCAGCTGTCAATTGAATTCTCCGGGATTATCTGCGTGAAATCATGCTGTGCGTCCTGACCAGAACTGCGGTAAGTGATGATTTTCATAATGTACAATACTCACTCACACTAAAGAACAAACGCAGCGACTTCAACAGTACATTGAACGCCTGATAAGTTAACGTTACATGCGTCAGTAGAAATAGCCGTAAGGCCCCGTATCTATTGATGTGCTGCTCGCTTTCTATTCATTGCAACCTGATCGGAAACATTGTGTGCATTTGTTGTGCATCATTTCGACTGTTGTTACGATCGTCTAAAAACAGCAATTGAATTATGACATGTTGAGATGATCAACTTATTTACAGCACAAATCAGCAACAAATATGTCTTTGCACTTTGAGAACGAGACAGATCGATCAATATTCACCATGTCGTGCAATAGTCCGTTCAAACAAGTTTAGTGACATGTTTTTAAACGTGTGTGTGTGTGTGTGTGTGTGTTTGTGTTTGTGTTTGTGTGCTTGTGTGCTGGAAGGTCGTCGAGAAAGTTCAGTTTTCCGAAGCACAACAGAAGAAAGCCTTAATTTATACCTAAGAGTTTTTATTTATTTTATTGTTTTATTTGTCATTTAAGGGGATTTTTATTTTTTTCCCTTTTAGGAGGATATTTACTAATAAAACGCATGGTGCATTTATATAAGAAAATTAAACTGAATGAATGAATTAAAATAAATTGTACAATAACTAATTTTGACACATGACACTGAGCCTGCAGCCTATTAAAATAATAACTAGATTATTATTATTATTATTCTTTGTATTTGTCTATTGTTAAAAGAGATAAATATGATTATTAATCTGTTTTATTCTCACAGCTACAGATCAGAGGTCCGTTTCAGAAAGGAGGTTAAAGGGGTCATATGATGCTTTTTTTAAAGATCATTATTTTGTGTATTTGGTGTAACAGAATATGTTGACATGCTTTAATGTTCAAAAAACACATTATTTTTCAAATACTGTACATTATCGTAGGTCCTATATGCCCCGCCTCTCTCAAACGCTTCGTTTTCTACAAAGTCCCTCCTTCCGACAAGCGCAGTCTGCTCTGATTGGCCAGCTGACCCAGTGCATTGTGATTGGCCGAACACCGCAAGCACTCGTCGGAAATGTAACGCCCCTTACCATAATCGCGAGCTTCATCTTTCAAAATAAATGTGAAGACAGTAAATAATGTCATTAGTTTTACCATCAGTTCAAGCCCGAAAGGGGAACAGAGTC